GCTATAACTAATAATGTAGATTAAGTGCTGTAACAACTAATGTAGATTAAGTGCTGTAACCACTAATGTAGATTAAGTGCTGTAACTAATAATGAAGATTAAGTGCTATAACTACTAATGTAGGTTAAGTAAGATAAGTCTGTAGTTAACCATCTTTACCCTGTAGTGACAAGTCTGTAGTTAACCATCCAGTACGCAGTCGCATTTTAACAACAGTGCGGAGTTATATAATAATAGCAATGCGAAGTCACACGTGTGCGTAGTAAACGATTTAACAACAGGTATACTTAAGTTATGTTCGTTCCAGTGTTGTTAACAGATTATTGGATTTAAGTACACAGTATCGCATCATTTCTGTGACGTCACGATCATTAGAGCTAAGACTAAATTTATTTAGATATTTTATGTCGCATTCAATATTGGTGGGAATGTTTTATGTAGAACATATTGTATCAGACTACAGGCCAGTGACCATATTTTGTTGTCGATTCTTGCATAATTTACACGATTGGAAAATTTTAATGAATTGAATTATGTTTTCAGTTTAGAACAAATGTCAAATAAACGTTACAGCTCGACATTTTTATATCAAAATACTAATGTAAGAATCTTCAGTGTTACTTTTGTACCAAAAGATTTGGTGAACCACATTTGAAACTTTTGTTGTAAGAAAAAAAGAGAAGAATCTTCGTGATTGTATGCTATTGTGTCACACAACAGCAAATGGAGAGTTCAAAATGTACGGGAAACGTCCACTTTTATCGTAATGTTTGTTTTCTACCATCACTTTCCTTTTACATATGATAAGATGTCCCATCGATGACCTGAACATGGACATTGCAAAATTTCTTAATATTCTGGCATTCTAGGAAAATCTAACTTTTGGCTTAGATTAGAATATTCACCACCAACTCCCCCTCCTGATCCTCGTGTTGTAGTTAATCAAATGCACATATTCGCTCCCCTTCTGGTCCTCGTGCTCTAGTTAATCAATTATAAATATTGCCACTTCCTCGTGGGTTTTAGTGGTACAGTTACTCGCATATAAATGTTGGTTATCGTAATATAAGCAGTTGCTACTGGTGATATCAACACTTCTCTATTCAAGGTATGCGTGTTTTTATCAGGATTTGAACTATTTTTTTACTCCTCTACTCATAATTGGGATTGGAGGGAAATTAGTTGTATATTTTGTAACGTTTGAAAATGAGCTATAATCAGCTGATGAACATCTCATTAAATTTCACTACAAAATATTCGGATGTGTTTTAAACACAAGCACTTCATAGTATTTAGGCGTGATTTCAATACAAGCACTTCATGGTATTTAGGCGTGATTTCAACACAAGCACTTCATGGTATTTAGGCGTAATTTCAATACAAGCACTTCATAGTATTTAGGCGTGATTTCAATACAAGCACTTCATGGTATTTGGATATGTTTTCAACATTAGCACCTTGTGTAATAGTATACTAAAGTACATTAAAGTGTTAGATGTTACACAGTAAAGTGATAGATGTTACATAGAGTACAGTAAAGTGACAGATGTTACATAGAGTACTCTATGTAACATCTATCACTTTACTGTACTCTATGTAACAGCTATCACTTTACTGTGTAACATCTAACACTTTACTGTACTCTATGTAACATCTAACACTTTACTGTACTCTATGTAACATCTAA